TACGGAGGTCAAAAAAGAAATACATGGCACGTCTTGAGGCGCGGCAGCTTGAGCCCCGCCTGGAGAAGGCGTGAGCATAATGCAACAGAACATAAAACAGCAACGACGACGACGCACGTCGGATTGGCCCACCTCCGCCATACGCTCGGCCATGCGGCGCTTGGCGGCCTCCGAGCCGTCCCACAGCCCGTTCGTGAGGAGCGCCTGCACCTGTAGGAAAAAAGAAAACCATTCGAAAAAGAAATGCGCGCGGGGGTGAGGGAGCGCCTACACCTCTGTCGCGGCGAGCGCCGGCTTGACCCACCTGCAGGGAGGGGTCCGAGAGGGCTCCGAGAGGGCTCCGAGAGGGGTCCGAGAGGGGTCCGAGAGGGGTCCGAGAGAGGGGTCCGAGAGGGGTCCGAGAGGGTTCCCGAGAGGGCTCGTGTGGCGTGGCAGAAGAGCGCCGGTTCTGCAGCGCGTAGCGGAAGAGCATCTCGGAGAGCTTGGAGGCGCGGCCCGCCGCCGCACCCTGCGCCCGCTTGGTCGAGTCGCGGAGAACGAGCGACTGGGCGGGGCGGGGACATGGCACGTGCGCAGAGGAGAGGAGGAGGGTGTACGAGAGGAGAGGTTCGTGGGCAGAGGAGAGGAGGGGTGGGGTGTGGGGTGAGTGGTTCGTGGGCAGAGGAGAGGAGGAGGGGTGGTCGTGGGCCGGCTCGGGCTACGGCTGCGCGCTCGCCTCGGGCAGCCGCTCCCGGTGCAGGTGCAATCTCGGGTACTCTCGGGTGCGCTCGCCTCGGGCAGCCGCTCCCGGTGCAGGTGCCCGCACAGCAGCGTCAGGTTCCTGCGCACAAACGGTGGCCGGCCTGCCCGCTGATCGGGAGCGAAGCCGTCGACCTCCAGGCCGGCGAGGGCCTGCTCGAGCGCGTCGATGTCCGCCGGCTCGGCGCGCGCCTCGCGCGCCCTGCCCGGCGGAGCCTCGCCTGTCTGCCCGCCTGCCGCCGCGTCGGCGAGCGCCAGCTTGGCGAGGTACGGCGAGGAGGCGAGCATGATCAGGAGGCGGAGGGTGGGGACGGGGCCGGACGCCTCGTCGCCCTCGGCGTTGAGGAAGGCGAGCACGCCCTTGGTCAGGTGCTCGCCGTCCGCCTCGGTCGGCAGCCCGCGCGCCTCGGCATTCTTGTTGACCTCGGCGCGGAATTTCTTCGCCTCGTCCGCGTGCTCCTCGTTCTGGAGGAGCTCGCGCTTGAGCGCCTCGCCCTCCTCGGCGAGCGCGCGCTGCTCCTCCGGCGACATTGCGAGCAGCACCTTGCGCACGTTGTCCTCGGTCATCTCCAGCCCGCCCATCCGCTTCTCGAGCGCCTTCATGAAGCACGCCTCGAGCTCGGCTGCAGACTGCTGCTCCGCCTTGGAGGTGGCCTCGTCGCCCGGCACAGGCTCTGCTTTGGCGCGCTGCTCAGACTTAGGAGCGGGCCCGGGCTTCTTTTTGGAGCCCTTGGACATTGTTGCCCACAGGAATTGCTTGCAAGCGAGATGCTCACGGAAAGAATTCGCGCGGGGGGCGCCGCATAATCTACTGGCCTGAAGACATTTTGAACGAGTGGGCGGGCAGGCTGTCTGTTTACAGGCGCCGTCCGCCCGCGCGCGCGCCGACCCAACTCCGAGCACGCTCGCTCGCCGCTGGGCGGCGCGCGTCCACACTGCGTCGGCAACACGACGCAGGAGCTCGCTCACTGCTGCTGCGGCGGCGGCAGCGACGGCGACTGCGAGCTGACGGCTGACGGCTGTACGGCTGTACGGCTGACGGCTGGCGGCTGGCGGCTGCGGCGAACGGCGACGGCTCGGTTCGCGTTCGCCCCGCGACGGTGCGACTGAGCCTGCCGCGCTCGATCTGGGAGCCACTCGGCGCCAGTTCGAGCGGCGGTCGGCTCGGCCACTGCGGGTGCGACGCATGATAGAGCTGCTGGGCGCCGCATCGTGTACTACCGACCCACGCCAAGGCGCGGGGCGGTGGTGCTCGCCGGCGCTCGCGGTGCTTCGGTGCTCGAGCGCGCTCAACATTGTGGTCGTTCAGGGCGGCTCGCACAGCGCCCGCAGGCACACACACACACACACACACACACACACACACACACACACACACACACACACACACACACACACACACACACACACACACACACACACAGCCCCTTCCCCTTCCCCTTCAAGGGCGAGGACACGCGCAGGGGCCGCACCTCTAGCGAAGCCCACAGAGTGGGAGACTCCTATCACCGCCCTGCCACCCACGTGAGCCTTTTGGCCGCCTCTGTCAGTGTGCCCGTGGTAGTGAGAGACTGCTGGTGAGAAGCCGGAAGAAGGTCGCTAGTCGAGAGAGATCGCCAGTGGAATAGGGAGTCCACCGTGCTGCGAGCCTGTCGCTGTCCCTTGTCAGGAGCAGGTGAGAACTAGGAGAGCGCAACCAGTAGGAGGCCCGCGCCTGCCCCCGTGCCGCCGGGTGCAACCTGTCCTATACGAGAGAGGAATCCCTGGGACCCTGTCGTGTGGGTGAACCCTGCCCAGCCCCCCTCCGTGTCGCGATGCGCTCCCCGCTCCCGTTCCCCTGTGTCCCTGATCGTCCTTACAAGATCCTGCTCGTGCAGGTGGGGACCCTGTCCTTCTCCCACCCCTCGTTTGGCGTGCCCGTTTTATTTATTTATTTTATTACTACCGCTCCACGCCAAGGCGCGGGCGGCGGTGCTCGCCGGCGCTCGCGGGGCTTCGGTGCTCGGGCGCGCTCACCATGTGGTCGTTCGGGGCGGCTCGCACAGCGCCCGCGCGCGCGCGCGCACACACACACACACACACACACACACACAGACACACGCCCCTTCCCCTTCCCCCTCGATCCCTCAAGGGCGAGGACACACACAGACACACACAGGACGCACCTCTAGCGAGGCCCGCATAGTACATGTGGGAGACTCCCTGCCGCCGCCCCTGCCACCCCTGTGTCAGTGTGCCTGTGGTTGCGAGAGACTGCCGGTGAGAAGCTGGAGGCAGGTCGCTAGACTGAGATGAGGCCGCCAGTGGAGTTGGGAGTCCACCGTGCACCGCGCTGCGAGCCTGTCGTGTCCCTTGTCAAGAGCAGGAGAGCCCCACCTGTGCCCCTGATCGTCCTTCCAAAATCCTGCTCGTGCAGGTGTGGACCCTGTCCTCCTCCCCCATCCCTCGTTTGGGTTTGTCTGTTTTCTTTCTTTCTTTCTTTCCTTCCCTGCGAATCGGCGAGAGACTGCGAAGAGAGATAGGAAGAGGCGGACGCCCAACGCAAGGGTGGGCGACGGCTAGCGCATCACACCCCTCTCCTTAAAATCCCTGTGTGGTGGCGGCGTGCCGTCCTCCCATCCCTCCCTTGCGTTGTCTGTTTTCTTTCTTTCTTTCCCTTCCCTGCGAACGCGCACCCCCCCCTAGGGGTCAGGGCTCTCTTGCCCGTAGCCCGCCCCGGAGCATCCGGCCCGCTGGGTGCGCTTCTTAGCTCCCCGGCCCTGGGTGTGAGGTTACTAACTGCACTCCAAGTGTTCCAAATGCAAACCTGCCTGCAAAGGTGGGGACGTGTCCGTCCGTCCGTCCTCGACCCAGCCCTAGCTTGGGATGTCCGTTTTCTTTCTTTCTTTATCTCTCGGCCATATCTCTCGGCCATCTCTCGGCCATCTCTCGGCTCCCTCACCACTTCGCCACATGCTGCCGGCCGCCCGGCCTGGCCACGAACGAACCATTAGTTTCCGTTTGTTAATCAACTAATTAATCAGTTCATTAACTAATTGATTACCCTTCACCATGCTGCCGTCCGGCCTGGCCCTTCAAAGTGCACACACCTCGGTTTGGGTCTCGGCAGTCAGAGAGAGATTTTTTGAAAACCAACTTGCAGTCAGTGTCTCAAGAAGCTCCCTAGCACAGCACTGGGCACGGGACTGGCGCGCACTGGCACTAACACAGGTACACCACGGGAGCCGCCTAAGCGACTCCTGCGAGGACGGCGAGGCACTTAGCTCCGTGCACTCGACCACCCTCGCCGCAGGCAAGCTCATTCACAATCTGCTCTGCGATGGCCGTGTGAAGAACGCGACTGAGATGCGCTGCTGCTGCAAGCCCTAGCCAATTCTAGGTGGTCCAAGTCACCTCATCGAGGTACTGGGCCCGCGTCAGCTTGTTCTGCAGCACGTTCGCCGCCTTCCAGAGGATCTCGCCGACCCCCTTCCCGAACCCACCGAACGACTCGAACAGCAGCAGCTGCACGTCGGCGTCCTTGTCCTCCCTGGCGTAGCGATACTCGCCGCCATAGCATAGGACGGTATGCGGCGGTCGCCGCCCACCGCCCTTCCCCCCCTAGTATGCCAGCGACCCGTCCCCTGCCCCCTCTCGCCCTTGCTCTACGCTCTACCTCTCCCGGCCCTCCACATGCCCTCGCGCCCCCGTACCCCTCACACTCCTCTTCCCTCGCCGTCTTCGTCATCGACAAGAAGATCGTCTGGTACGATTCCCTTTTGCCGGGAAAGAATTCGGGAAAGAATTTGCTCGCTGTCAGGGCTCTATTGCCCGTAGCCCGTCCCCGAGCATCCGGCCCGCTGGGTGCGCTTCTTAGCTCCCCGGCCCTGGGTGTGAGGTTGCCAACTGCACACTCCAAGTGCTCCAAGTGCAAACCTCTTGCAAAGGTGGGGACGTGGGTCCGTCCGTCCTCGACCACGTCTAGCTTGGGATGTCCGTTTCTCATATTGTATTTCTTTCTTTCTCGCGGCGGTTTATCTCTCTCGCATCTCTCGCGGCGCCGCGGGCCGCGCCGCGCGCGCACTCGCTCGCCTCTGCCCTCTCGCGTCTCGGGGCCATCCCTCTCTCGGCCATCTCTCGGTTCCCTCACCACTTCGCCACCATGCTGCCGCCCGGCCTGGCCACGAACCATTAGTTTCCG